TGATATGGCAATGAACATCCTTGTACTCAAATCTTTGTTAACATTTCTGGATGTATCATAAGAGCAGATTCCTAGAAATTTAGTTATTAAATCAAAATTTCTTAATCTTTTTAGGCAATTGATGCATATTGTCAAATTTTCAAGAAAAAAGCACAAGTTACACTCTCAAAGGCAGTAAATTTTAGTATCTGACATGGGAAAAATCTGGGTTCAAATCCTACCTCTACCATTTACTAGTTGAGTGACCCTAGACAAGTTAATCTTCCTGAGCCACAGCCTCCTTGTCTGGAAATCAACAAAATAATACTTATGCCACAGGGTTCTTGTGAAGAGAAAAATAAGGTATTGAACCATTTGACTACAGATGTACTTGAGTACATAGATCAAGTATTTAGCATAATGCCTGATATACAATACACTAAGCATTTAAATGTTTGCTTTTATTATTCTTATCATCATCAGATGAGAATGTCAGTCTTACAGAACATTCATCAGCACTGGATATTATTGTTAAAATACAAAATACAAACTGGACAAGTAAAAGATGGTATCTATTTTTAACTTGAATTTCTTTGATTTTTTAGTTCTATTGAACATTTTTCATTTATTCATTAATCTTTCAATTTCTTCTGTATACTTTATCACTTTGTCTATTTGTTCTATATAATTTTAGTTCTTTAAAGTGCATATACAAGAGTTCTTTAATAAGAATACATACCTTTTGTTATCATAATTGCTGCAAATATATCCCCCAATATTTTGGATTTTTTCAATTTCAGTTGTTAGACATCAATAAACTCTTAAAACATTTATGAAGTACCTATTTCAAAATTCAATTGTGTGCTCATTCACATTTTTCTACCATTATTTGGTACATATATTTCGCATACAGAAAAGTATACTGATCATAAGTTCATAGCCTCAAGAATTACCACAAAATGGACATATTTATTATATTAGTTTCCTAGGACTGCCATAACAAAATGCCACAACTTTGGATGGCTGAAACAACAGATAGCTACTGTCTCTCAATTTTGAAGACTAGAAATTGGAGGTCAGTGTCAGCAAGGTTGGTTCCTTCTGGAAGCTGGGAGGGAGAATCTGATCCATGTTTTACTCCTAGCTTCTGGTGGTTTGCTGGTTATTTTTGGTGTTCCTGGCTTGTAGATACATTGCCCTCTCTATCTCTGTCTTCATGTTCAAATGGAATTTTCCCTATGTGTGTGTCTCTATATCCAAATTCCCCCCTTTTATAAAACACTAGTCATGCTGACTTAGAGCTCACACTGAGACCTCATTTTAACTTGACTACTTCTGTATTATATTTTCAAATAAGGTCATATTCTGAGGTACTGGGCATTAGGGCTTCACTATATCTGTTTTCAGGAAACAATTTAACCCATAACAGTCATGAAACTAGAGCACAGTTGTTGTTTTCTTTTAAAAAAAAACAAACAGTCTATACCTAGCTTTCTAAAATTTACCTCATGTCCCCTTCAGCCATTGCCTCTTGCCAAGGTTACCACTCTCCTGATTTCCCACACCATAAATTAACGTTCCTGTTCTAGAACTTCATATAAATGGAATCATACAATGTGTACTCTTTTCTGTGTGGCTTCTTTACCTGAAAATTATATCTGCAAGATCCATCCATGTTGTTGCATTGTTGTGTGTAAAAATAGTTCACTCTTTTCATTTTTATGTAGTATTTAACAAAAAAGAGGAAAAATTATGTAGGTTATCCATTTACTTGTTGATATTTAGGTTGTTTCCAGTTTTTTAGCAATTGTGAATATAGTTGATATGAAACTATATTAGAAATATGTTGGGATGAAAATCCTAGACAAGTCTCTTGGTGAGTACATGCTAACATCTGTGTTGGGTATATGGAGTGGAATTTCTGGCTGATAGGGTGTATGTATGTTTAGCTTTAATAGATGTACCCAAACAGTTTTCCAAAGTGGGCTGCAGCAGTGTATGAGAATTTTGGTTTTTCCATGTCTTCACCAGCAGTTTGGGTTGACTTGGACAAAATATTTTTTGATGCAAAGATGATAATAGTGATGACAATAGCTTCTCATTAAAGTTGTTCTGAAAGCCAGGCATTGGGCTGGTCATTTTACCTATATTATCTCATTTAATCTTTAAACTACTTTTCAAGGGAGTTATTTCACAAGCAACAAAACTAACCATCAGTGAAATGAAATTGCCCAAAGTAAGAGTAACAATGTAGGATTTGAATCCAAATTTGTTTGATTACCAATCCTAGAGACTTTTTAGTCCAGATAAAATGAAAACCTGCTTGTCACAGAAGCAAAGGGGGAGGCGTAAGCATCATGGTGTAGCATGAGGGTGTAGATATGGCTATTGTGGAGGGGTCCACTTAGTAGTAAGTGATAGACACAGCTCTATATCTCTACCTGAAGGCTAGTTTGTGCCACCCTATTTTGGGAACATTAAGCATGAGCATCTGTTATTACAGTTAGCTCCACACATTTTCTAATGAATGATTATTTTGAGGACTGATTCTGAGAACAGATGTATGTGCTTAGTATTTTAAAAGACAGTGATGCAAGACCAGTTTTGGAAAACATGGTTGGAGCAAGAGGTAGAGTCTGAGACCAAGGAAATGAAACCATAATAGCAGGTCTGTGGCACTGTTCTTACCACTGATGTCAATGTGTCCTCCTTCACCTTTCAGCCCTCACCCCAGGCCAGGTCTCTAAACAATATCAGGAACACTAACTCTTAAGAACATAGCAGGAGCCACATTCATTCTAATCATGCCCTCTGCTTACATGGCCCTGGAGGACAGCATGAATTTCAGTGGAAGAAAATATTTCATGGAGCAGAAGAAAAAAAACGTACTGCCAAATAATCAGTCTTCCATCAAGATGCTCATTAGACTCAAGTAATAAGAAGCTGTTTCAAATCAGGCACTGTGCTGGGTACTTCTAGATACATCATTTTAGTCTTCACAATGGCCTTGAAAGAAATACATTTCTATCATCCCTTTGTTACAGATGTGGGAATCAAACTTCAATAAGGTTAAGAAACTTGTCTGAAGTTGCACAAGGGGAGAAACAGAAATAAAGAGTTCCATTTTAACACAAGATGGAGAAAAGGGAAGTTTGGACCTTTATGAATTATGAGATATATCTTTAAAAAGCTTTTGGGATTATGATCTCACTTTTATTATTTTTTAAAGGTAGGACAAAAAAAAAGAACATCGAATGTTTTCCAGCTGAACACTAAAATGTTGATTGCCTTGGGAAATAAAAACTTTAGAGAGCAAATTCTCATATTGTGGGTCAGCAACCTTATTTACAAACCATTAATGACTGAGTGCAGGGACTCATATCCTATAAAGTATCATATTGATGAGGTCCTCATCGGTTCAGGTGTCGTCATCTTCTAAGACTGTGCCAGTGCAATTATTTTAGAAAGTAAAAAGTTTCCATTTTAATTGGTGCTTGGTTTATTTGTCTCTTAAAACATTGAAATTGGTTTAAAATTCAAATGAAAACTAACACCTGGGTTAGCCCTGGTTTCAGTAAACCTGTTCATTTTTTTTCCTATATTTTAATCTGTTGTTGATTTAATTGCCTGATTAGGTCACAGAAGCGATGTCCCAGATGTATGTACACTTTCATATATTACAACCCAAGCACTGTAGCCAGAGCAGAATGAGAACCATTTTGGAAGGGGTAATGGGCTCACAACTTTGGGTGCGATTCACCCACAAGGCCCATACTCACTCAGGCACACTGGATCTGGGTTGACTTCTCTATAGAGAAACAACCGAAGAAGAGGAGAGACACAACACACTCAACTCTCCTCCTTTAGTCACAAAGGCTGACTGTCCCCAGAATCCCTGACTCCTCATGTACTGCTCAGGAGCCTTTCTTTTAGAACCTGTGGGTGGACATAGGAAACCTCCCCCACCCCTGACCTGCCAGCCACCCCCAGCCCCATCTTCGAGAGAGAAGGAGTGCAGTCTGAGGACTGTAATGCCTCTGCCTGCTCCAGCACAGAAACGTGCTGTCGGCATTTGCAAACACAAGCAAGTGATGTGGTATATGTGCTCTTAATCTCTGTTTTAATGTATCAAACAATCTAGTGGTTAATTTGTAATTTGCTGTTCACAAATACGAAAATGAATGACAAGCAAAGACCCTCCATACTGTAATTACTTTGCCTATTTACAAGCCACTTTCCTCTCTGTGTAGGTTTTTCTGTATATGCATTCATGCATCAGGGATTTCATTATTTTTAAAAGCATATTCAGTGCATTTTTATACTTTAATATTTTCTGGCTTCAATAAATACACACACACACACACACACACACACACACACACACACACACTTGTTTGTGTTTCTTCTCCAGGATTATGTATGGAGAGAGTGGAAAGTTAAGATTTTTCAAGGGGCTGAAACCCAATTTGCAGAGAGTCAGAGTGCAAGATTAAAAGATGCACGTTTCTGCACCTGCCAAATCCTTATCTGGAATCAGAGGAGTCTTGTAATATTTGATTTTCTCCCAAGCAGCTCTGGGGAGTCGAGCCACGATCTGCGTTATCCATCTGCCTACTTTGGAACAGGCTGTTTTACTATTTGGATGTTTAAATGCTTTACATTTTTGCCAGTGCATTAAGAAAGGGTCTCATGTTAAATTAAGTCAATTAATAAATGGAGACACATTAAGCAATCAATTTTGTCAGCCTATCTCCCCTGCATTATGTATGGTTGGCTGTAATCACAAGATAAATGCAATGTGCTGATCTATGGTAATGTTCAATAATACATTCTCCGCCAGCTCAATTCATCAGGGAGTTTCAGCAGGGGAGGCATTTGTTATTGGCTGTCTCTGCACCTCAAGGATAACATTTCTGTCCTTTTGATTGGCCGCCTCACTGCTGCAAGATTCTAACCGTCTTATTTTGATGATGAATATGAAGGCACGCTAAGCCGGTCTGGAGCGGAGTGTCTCGGTGGCTGCGCTCCTTCCAGAGCCCAAGGACTTACAGCTGCCTCCGCTGCCTTCCTTTGCCAACGACCCCCCAAAAGTTGTGATGCTTTTCTTTACCCAGTGCTTCGGAGCTGTGTTAGATCTCATTCACCTCCGCTTTCAGCACTACAAGGCTAAACGGGTTTTCTCCGCTGCTGGGCAACTTGTCTGCGTGGTAAACCCCACGCACAACCTAAAGGTGAGCTGGTCGCTATGGTTTTATATACACGCGGTTCAGGTTCAAGTCCTCCCCCCCCCGCCCCCCGCGTCAGTGACCCGCCCGCGCGTGCATGGAGCTCTTGGCAAAGGCGGGTTCGCGGGATGCTAGGACAGTGTTTGGGACACAGAGAGGTTGCTTTGGCTTATTCTGGCTCTCTAGGTAGCTTGGTGCTCTCTGTGACAGTAGGTTTTTTTTCCCTGACTGGCCAGAACAGCTGGAGTGACAGTCTAGTTTCTTTCCTCCAAGCTGTCAACCCGAGTGTAGTGGAGGTCAGAAGTGGAGGTGGTGGAGGAAGTAGGAGAAGACCCTCCCAAATATTTGTGGGCAAATGTTCAGTAGACAGGATTTGAAAAGTTATGGAAATTGCTGCCTGCCCATGTGTTTGCGAAAGCAGACAAGCACATGGATTTTTGGAAGCATCCTCTGGCTACCGCTGAAGTATCGCGGGCAGGAACACCCAGACAGGGAGCTGAGAGCTGGCCAGAGGGCTTTTTCTACAAAGTATTTTTCCTTATGTTTAGACTCAGCAAGTGTGAGCATGTGTGAGTAAGAGAGAGAGATAGGGGAGGGGGGGGAGGGGGGGAGAGAGAGAATATGAATGTGTGTCAGGAGCTTGTCTTCTTTGCATCCTGCTAGCTAGGTGCCCCCCTCCACATTCCACCCCCCTGCCCCCTTTCACTGACGACTGAAGGATGCAGATTTGCTTCAATTGTGTAATAAAGAAACTGGCTCCGAGCTACGAGCTACGGTCTGAATCACCGCAGGAGGCTGCCGGTGCTGTGTTGCCTGTGGCCACCCAAATGCGTGTGGGGAGCTGCTCCCTCTGCATTTGTGCCTTCAGGTCAACGCTCTTTAAATGAAGGAAGGACCGCACCACATCCCGGCCAAGACGATGGGGAAATGAATGAAGAGCCACTAGCTAAGGGTGGTAGGGAAGACCCGGAAGGCAGTGCAGTAGTGGAGGGGCGGGGCCCAGCTGAACTCCCCAAATGTGAAACTTAGCAGTCAGGACTCTGTAGTAAAATAAACGATAGACTCATTGGGAGTTCTCCTGTCCTCACTACACCCAGAGCTCACCTATAGGGGGAAGGGCCTACCTACAGGGAGAGTGCCAGAATAACACCTCTGAGAATAAACCTGTCCTTCTGACCACTGACCTTGGGCGGGAAGAGTGCTGCTTGTTGCTTGTTACTTTATAAACTCCTATCAAGAGGTGGGCTCTTTTCAGTAGGATGGCTGCCAGTCCACTCTGACAGGTGCCTCCAACCTTCACCCTGCAATTTCTGCAAGTCCATAGGAGGGACAGTTCCCTGAGGCCCCTGGGGTCGTTGCTAACGCTCCTCCTGGTGCAGGGTTGATGGCCTGCTCTGGAAGGGCTATGACGAACTAGCTTTCCGTGGTGTCCAAGCTATGACTAACACCATCTCACGCAACCTCTCTCGCTCTCTTGTTCCTGTGCTCTCTAGATCTCTTTCCCTTCATGTTACTATTTCTTTTTTCCTTTAAAGCTTAGTTTTATAAATGAGAATTCATTACCAGTCATCCTTGGCAAAGCAAGTGTATGATGTACATATTAAAATATGATTCTGAATTTTATTTCATAGCCACTTTTGAGACCACATTCAAACTCCCATTATTTTGTCACTTTACATTAGTAAAGTTGCCTAGGGCAAGAAATTTTGTTTACTCCTGTTTTGCATTTTAATACATTTAAACATTGTTTATGATATTTAACATTTCCAAAGTTTGAATTTATATGGTTCATTGACTACAGCTGACATTGGAGGAAGAGAGGGGTGCTCAGATCTTGTGGGGTGGGATGAAATGCATTTGAGCATATTTTTTTAGTGTTATATGCCTGAATATTGACAGAGTCCTGCTGCCTGAAACCATAAGTCCGGAGTCAGGTTGGAGGTCACGGGTAAGCTCTGACCAGCTGTGTGACCTCAAAAGACAAACTCTCTGAGCCTTTTCTCACTTTCAAAATGAACATAAACATACTTATCCTGCATCTTCCACAGCTCTGTGAGGCTGAAAAGAGATACTAGAGGTGGATGTGCTTTATAACACTCTCCTCCAAAAAAAATTACATGATTGCACATAAGGTGTAGGGATTCATTAGGAACTTCAAAAATTGTCACATAAAGCCTTTAGCCAACTTAAAAACCATATAAGGAGTAACATAAAAATAGGTGACATATGCTGTGAGAGGCTATTTTCCATAGCTAACTTTTTCAAGTATATTCTCATTTGGCTTTTCACTTCCCATAAAAAAAAAAAAAGAACACTTCTGAGATTTTGCTCAGATAAGCACCACCACAGGTAAGCAAAGTAAGTTGGGTGATGCTAATGCAACCAGGGAGTGCAGCAGAACACACAAGATTCACAGAGGCTGCGCCAGGCAGAGAGACCTCTGCAGTCCAGGCTGCCTTCATGAAGGTCTCAGTAAGCACCTTGTGTGCATCCATGGTCCAGGTGGCACATCAGGTAAATTTTACCTTTTTCTCAAACCTGATGGCTAACAGTCATTGGCAGAGCAATTTTAAAGGAACAATTCCACAGGAACACTGCTGCTCCATCACTTATATTACAAAGTGCACAAAGCCTCCAAAGAAAAGTGCTCTTTCTAAGCATTAATTTCCATAGACAGACCACAGAAATATGCCTGGGATAGAGTAAACTGTGATCCACATGGGAAAAATTGTTTTAAAGAAAAAAAAACAACCCAAACTGTGGCAATGTTAACCCAGAACAGCTATTGATCTGTGGTACTTCTCCACACTTTGTGTAACAGGCTAATACATGAAATGGTGACTAAGGACAGACAGGCTGCAGCCTTGCTTTTAACTTTCTAGGTTGCATGTAGCTACATAAAAGGGCTGGGAAGCCTGTGATTTTTTTTGTTTTGTTTTGTGGAATCATTTTTGCACTTTGTCCTTTCCAGGGCTTCCTGAGAATGCTGACAGTATTTTAGGACCTCAGGCAAGTGCTGAGTTATAATCAAAATTCACTTACTGAGCAGAGAAAATTGTGTGTTTACCATGTTTGTATAGGTCACCTTCATTCTCAATCTTATTATGGTGATTACTCAGTAATCTGGGACTCCTTCAAAGCCAATGCCTTTCTTTCTAAATGGAAAGCAGAAGACTTCCCAGGAATGCAGACACCCTGGTTAAAGCCATTTATGTCCCTTAATCCCACCCTGGCCTGGCATAAAGGGGCCTCTGCTTTAAGGAAGTCCCAGGCAGGGAATGATCCATAGCAGAACCATCTCTGTGGAGTGCAAATGACTCTCTGTTTCCCTGTTTCTGTCTCTCTCTCTCTGACTGTCAGTCTCTGCCTGTAGGGAGGGCTCCTTGCACAGACGATGCCCCTCACTTCTCTTCCTTACGCCATGAAAGTGACCACCATCAAGGAGCCAGTGTTACTGCCCTCTGCTTCTTCACTCACAGATTTTAGTGAAACGCAGCTGGCAGGCCTCAGGCTGGCACCAGTGAGGGCTCCAGCTCCTGGTCTGGCTTCAGCCCCTCTTTCTCCCTCATATCTTTTGCTCGTTTCCAAACCCAGTCTTTCTCTCCTAGCTCCTCTCCACACTATGATCCACACTAACTGCTTCTACCATGCCCTCCTCTCTCCTGCCTCATGTCCAGAGGTGCCCTTTGAGGGGTAAACTGGGCAGTTCCTGCACTCAGAGACTCCAGGGCAGGGTCTGTAGTTGCAGCCAGAGCCCGCCTGGGGTCAGTCCTCGGCCCTTCTCAAGCAAACAGTAACTGAGCTGAGGCTGGCTTTGCAACTTCCTCCTCTTAACCACATCCCTTAATAAACCAACTTCTGAAAGAAGACTAGTAAGACGCTTTCTGACAAACTTACAAAAGGCCCTTGCTAGTGTCAACATCACTGTTGAGACGTGCAATGCCCTCCCCAGCATGCAGGTCTGAGGGTGTAACCTCCCCATCTCTACTGGGAGGTTATTCATGCCTCTTTCTACCCAGCCTTGTCATAGTTCTTCTCAGTTGTAGCCTGTGAACCTTGGGTTTACACACACATACACAATGGTAGAAGGTGTGTATGGGTTAATAATGGCTTTAATTTAAGTGTCTGACAGATATTAAATCTAAAAGTAGGGCATTTTAGTACCACTACTTGAAGCATCCACATGCCTTTCATTCTAAGACCAATCTGTGTGGATGAAGTGTGTTGGGTGACTCACAGTGGAATGGGTGGAGGGGTGCATGGAGGAGGAGGAGGATCATTAAAGGAGAGAACTGAGGAGAAAAGTGTGGCAAAGCCAAACATTGTCCTTACTGTTTATGGAGTATTCTATGGAAATCCCATGGGTCATGGGCTTTCACTAATTCTGCTTGACACAACACAGCAGTGAATGAGAACTAAACATCTGAGTGTTGTCTTTAGAGATTTGGAGGTAACCTTTGGAGTGTTCAGCCTAAATACCTTATTAAAGCAGTTAAAGGCTCCAACAAGATTGTTTAATTCTGTAGGTTACAAGGTTATTATTGACACAACCACCTCTGAGGGTCCCATTCCAGGTCCTCTGGAAATAATACCATTTTCCTTCTGCTGTTCAGACTTGAGCCTCTTCACAGCTCATTAGCACCTTGGAGGACAGAATGGATAAGGGAGAGGCTGGAGCCAGTGCTGCTCACTCTAGGAGCTTATTTCTAAAGGCTTTCCCCTGCAGCCTCTTCCAGCCCTTTGGTTTTTGTGAATATTGTATGATACTGTACTCTGTGGGCACAAAGCATTCACTGGGCTTTTCCGGTTAATGGTAATTGCAAATGAGACTCTGGAATCACATAACTGGATGCCCTGAGCCCCAAGCAGTCATTTGGTGAACCGCTAGTGATGGAGTTGCAGGGAAAACTGAAGCTGGCACTGAGATAAGGTGAGTCGATTAGCTCTGTACTGAATTTACCCAGCAACCCCAAAGTAAATTTATGGAACTCTTTTAACCACAGTCC